TGTATGAGGGTTCCTGTTTCTCCACATCCTCTCCAACATTTGTTGTTTTTTGTCTTGGTGATTATAGCCATTCTAACGGGCGTGAGGTGGTATCTTAGTGTTGTTTTGATTTGCATTTCCAAAATAGAGATGATTTTTAATCATGACAACAGGTTTTTCCCTAATTTGTTTAAGGTTGCTGTAATGGTTATTCTCATAATTTCCCAATAGAATTATCTTAATATAGTTACAATAGTTCCAGAGAGTAAAAGATTAAAAAAAAAACAAAAAACTTTGAGCCAAGCTTAGGAGAGGAACAACTATAAATTATACTTATAAAAAATGCATAAATATAAAGAACATCCATCATGATTCTTCATCTGTAGCTATCAACTGGTGTTGGTTCTACATAAAACTTATCACTTGTGTGAACTTTTTTATTTTAGTTTAAATAAATTGAATAAAAATTAAAAATAAATAAAAAACAAAATTGTACATAAAAAAACTAAGCATCTACACAGGTCTGGAAATAAAATCAAGGTTAGTTTAAGTTGCAAATAACAAGGATTAGGAACAAAGTTATTAAATGTTTATATCTTTAAATTTTGCTCTATCATTTTTAAATGTAGCATTTCTTTATGATATCTTTTTAGGTGATTTTAGGAAAATTATATGTAATTTATATTATTGCCCATTTTGTCTCTGTATTAGAATGAACGCCTAATTTCTTTCTGAAGAGGATTTTGCCCTGCCAAATGGACCTCTTAGTGAAAGTCCTTATAAAGTATAGTTTTAGAAAAAGGAAATCCATCTACGCTTGCTTTGCAGTGAATTGGCTAACAGAAGCTCTTCCTCTCAGTAATCATAACCCTGAACTCACTGTTGCTCAAAAACTTTTACAGCACTTTCCTGAGGGAACACGCTCAGTTCTTCCATTTCTTCACCTCCTCTAAGAATCCAATGAAGGCTATTGGTGCTATAGGCTCCCTAGAGAAAAACACACGTACAGTGCGCACAGTCCCCCTCCAAACACACACCAGTTGTCAGGAGGTTCACAGATTTTTCTGATGCCTAAGCTTCTACCCTAGACACTCTAAGATCCTCTTTGATTAGGGCAGACCACCATACACCTGGAGCTGGACTGCGACTTACTAGTGCTCTGTGAAATTCCTTTTATTGCATTATGTTCTGGTAAGAAGCCACCAACTTTTATTGAGGTGCATTAAGAAACAGCCCTATAAAACCCATCACACTGTTTACTGTAAGGATGATTTTAAAGGATTGTTTATTACATTAAATAGCAATTTTCTGTTAGGACCCGCAGGAAGAACTTCGCCCTGGGATCAACATCAAGAATAGTGAGACTTAGGCAACTGGTTTGTTTTACCTCATGAACACTGCAATTGATTCCTTTTTCCTCTTCTAGAAAGCTCTGTGACCCTAAGCCAGGCATAGGAACTTCAAGGGTACATATTGTATGCTAATTTAATTCCTGGTCCCCTCTCATTTTCCTATCATTATTTGCATGTTGCTTCATTTTTTCAATTTTAATTTATTTCTATCATGCTATATTTTGCTTTGGAAGCTGCCTTAACTTTGTTTTAGACAAGGAGGGGTATGAATAAATAAAGTGTTCTGGGTTTATTTTTTCTTTCCTAAATTTTTTTTCTTTTTTGGAAGGAGGAAGGGAGTCTGGAAAATTTTATGGTTCTAACATTTCTTTACATTAACATTTACAAGTACAGTGTAGAAGGTTAGGACATATGATTATACCCTACTTATAAAATTTGAGGAAAAGAACTGTCGAAAACTAAAACCAAAAATAAATATAATACTATACGAACATTACACAGGACTAATATAAAACTGTTAACCAATGAGCTATTTTATCTCTTTTGATATTAAAACAGGAGGAAATGGGCTTAGACTGCAGAAAGAAAAATGTAAATTGGACATGTGGACGGGTTATTCACTTAACAAACATATTTCCCGGCTGGAAATGTAGTGCTCTTTCTACTCCGGCACAAGGGCTTAGGGGACATCCAGCACAACCGTCTCACTTTAAAATATTTACTTATTATGTGGATCAGATCAACCTCAGATCAAAACATAGCCCATAAAATGTAAACCCACACCATAAAAGTCAATGGAAACAGTCATTTTAGAAAAGATATTAGTATATCCCCCTCAACACCTGTGTGACTGAAAAAAACCCCCAAAACACAAAAATGTCACCACTTGGCTCCTATAGAAGTGCTTTGTAAATCTTGAGAAAATTCTTATTTTAATATTACAATTATGGTACTTACCAATGTTTATTTTCTTCTCAGTTTTCAGTAAACGTTGTCCATAACAATGCTTTGTCAGGTTTATTAGTAGCAGTCATTTCTCAGTGTTGATGTTATGGTGCTTTGGTTTTCTTGAACAGTGTATCCTGATTGTATTTTAAACTAAGTTATCCAAAGCCTTCCACTACTTTGATTATTTTATTTTGCCAAATATTTTGAAAGCTGAAGGAAGATCTTGTTTAGAGGTCTTGAGGGAAAATATAGGATTGACCTGTTCCAAGTGTTACATATTTACAGAAATAGCTAATATTTAGAAAATTGCTATTATGCTGCTTTTTATGATTGCTGATAAATCTTTTTAAATGCTTTTTAGTGTATTCTGGACTGAGAGGAGAATGGCAGCAGGTCCTTAGTCTTGTTACTGGTGTATCCTAGGATGTTACCTGACATTGAGTAGGTATTCTGTAAATATTCAATAAATATCACTTGAATGAATGAGTGATCTGACTATTCATATGTTTAATGTGTTTGTGATTCAGGCATTATACTCATACTGAGAAAATGTAGACCCAAAAAATGTTAAGTGAGTTGTGTGCCTGCCAGAACAGTCATAATGTACCTGTAGTTGTTAGCATTGTGACAGTTAGGTCTAGCGTGCCTGTCTATATGTGTTCCAGAAAGAGAGATCTGTCACTCTTACTGTGAGAAAAAAAACTTTAGGAATTACTAGAGTAATAGAGTAGAAGAGTTATAAATAGAATATCTAGGAATATAATCTGTTAGAATTTTACTTTTCTAGAAGGTATCTGCAAACCCCCCAAATTGTGTACATGATGGTTTCAAATCTATATGTGAGGTCTCTAGAATAACTTAAATATCAATTGATTTAAAAAAAATAGACATTGTAGCATTTAGCAGATAAAAGGGAACTCCTAAAACTTGCCATAACCTTAGCTTAATAATAGTCAGGTCATTACAATCTTATCTTTATCAACAAAAATGATTTATGATTATAACTGTTTTCTATTCTTCATCTGATATAGGAAGAATCCAAGTGTTCCAAGGGGTATCATGCCCTGGATTTAAAATCAGGTTTAGAGCACATAGATGTACTTATTTTGATGCCACTGTATTCATTCTTAATTAGGGCAGGAGATGCTGAAAATTTATTTAGTGATAAAGTTAATAATTCTCCTCCTGTAGCATCTGGTCTCAAGTGGCCTGGAGTCATTGTCTAACCTGAATTTGAGAACAGTTGAGAAAGTTGCTCTATATGACCTCATTTGAATTATAGTCATTGGTATAGCAAGTCTCTTTAAACTCATCAGGAAATTTCCTGAATATCCTGCTGTCCTTGGCCCAATATTTCTCTGAATCCAAATGAAATAGCTGAGGACCACAGAGAAATACAATTTGGTTAATTATGTTTTTCTTTCATTTTAATTTTTAATTTGTTCCTTCCCAAAGGATTATATATATATATACAAGCTTATGATTTATAGATATATGGAGTTTTTAAAAAATGATGTAAAACATAAATTGAGCATTTGTTATTTGAATTTTTAAGTTTTCATTAACAATTTATTAACCTTTGAATTGAAATGAGTGGTTTTATTTATTTTTTGTTTAAATTATTTGAGTTATTAAAAGTATTTTTACATATTTAGAAATGTCAGATCTGGGATAACTGAATAATCTAGCCTTTACATGCAGTTATATTCTAGATATAAAATAAAAAATTCAGTTTAAAGTGATAAATGCAAAAATTTTGTGTTCCACATGGTTTCTTTCTGAGAACAGTAAGATATCGTTTAGGAAATATTAACTATTTAATATCTGTTATGTGTTCAAATTAAGTAAAAGGGATTGAATTTATTTAAAATTTAAGTGATGGACCTTTTTCTAGGCTTCAAGTACCTTTTAGAAGCAATTTCTTTTTCCTCAATCAAGATTAAATGACCAACTAACTCACCTAGTAGAATTTAAATCTTAAATTTAAATCTTTAAATCTCTGTTCTCCTGAGCCTCTCATGTCAATCACGGTCATCTTTAATGTCAACTATTAACTTTACCAAATGAAAATTAACGGTATGCAACATAAATTATCTCAATTTTTGCTTCTATCAACTCACTTTTTCTCTCTATTATTACTCACCCACTCACTGAACTCATTGAATCTCCTTTCCTTTAGTCCCTTTTCTTTATCCTAGGATATTGTCTGGGAGCATTCTTTACAGCAGCAGAAGAGTCTGGTGTAGGTGTTGTCCTCTTGTGTCCTGTGAGCAGGTCACTGAGTGGCCCATGCGGAGATCTACTGGGAGCTGCAGTACCTGTCTAGTTTTGTGGACATCTTGGCATCTACTGTTGAAATCTATGGCCCTGCCATGGCCTTTGTTTACTAAGGTGCCTGCACTCCATGGTTTCTTTAACCCAAGCCAAGTCCTCTTCATGCCCATTGGTTCACGTAGGGCATCTGTTTCCTTCACCAAGATCTCTTAGATCACTAGAGTGAACTTCTCTAGTTGTAAACAGTACTAGATACATTATTGGGTTTTACCTTCAATTTTCAGCTTTCTTTTGAGAGTTTTAGTAACCTCAGCGACTCTAGCATCATCTTATCCCTCCTTTGATCCCTTCTAAATCTTGGCAAGCTCTTTTGAACACCAATGTGGGTTTTCCTCTTCCCATGTAGCAAGAACTTCCTTCTTTTACATCATATCCTCTATCCTTTCTATATTTGTCTTACAGCAAAACTGTTAATGCAGACATCTAAGCCTTTCTCTTAATATGTAAAGGAAACTTTTTGAACTTAAGAATTTCTTTTTTTTCCCACACAAAGCCTGACTTTCAAGACTATGTCTTTTAAGGACTTGAAAAAAGAAACTAAATAGTAACTCAGAGCTAAGCAATGACCTCTCTTGTTGAGACTATTCACATACACTCCCAACAGAAATGAATGTCATCGAGTTAAAGGCTGGGGAGCTGTAGGCCAATATGATTTACAGAGAGTAAAAAGCACATTTGTTTCATGGTCTCAAAATATTATCCCCTCTCAATGTGTATTACTTTACTTATTATTTTATCCTTAAAAGAAGTCTTGGAATAAGATAAAACTTAGTTTGAATCCTAACTTCACGGATGCTTAGACCTCAATTTCCTCATCTGTAAAATGTCAATAACGATGTATACCTGGTTGTTATCAGAATTAAATGAGTTAATTAGAATAATGTCTGAAACATAATAGATGCTTTACAACATATGCTATTAACATTACTATCAGAATAGTATTTAATCGTTGTTTGATGACTAACGGTGAAAATATAGGTAAATCTCAAGCACCGTATTAAGCTTTTAGAAAGTTCTCTACAGAAGTTAATTATCTTTCTCCAGCTTTGCTTTTTTCAAAGCCAACACCCTTACCTCTGCTCTGAGTGACTTGATTTCCTGTGTCCTAAATAGGCTTGTTGTCGTTAAATATCTATTTCTGTTGTATATTCAGTTTCTTTCCACTGACTCTTTCTTCTTATATTTAAATCCCCTCTGTTCTAAAGAAGTTGCTAATTTCTGCTTCAAGCTTTCTTCTTTCTAGTGCCAGACTTCTTGGATACATATTGGGCTTGTGTATTCTTGTGATTGCCCCGCCTTTGAACCTAGTTACCAGTTTCATAGAATTTCCTTACTTTATGAATCCTGGTGAGAGAGAGAGCTACTCTCACTAGAGAAGCTGAAAGTGCCAGATACTCACTTCCCTAGCTTTCTTCACTACTGGGGGGGACACATGACCCGGCTCCATTAATCTGATGTTCATATTCCAAAGACACAGTCATAGCTCATCACTTTCAAGGCAGTTTCCACAGTTTCAGGGAGATTGAGGGCCTAGGGCAGTAGAGACAGTGATATTAATGGTGCCATCCTTTGTCCAGAGCCAGCTGGCTTGAAAGTGCAAACTTGACTACCTGGTACTACGATGTGATGGCAGTGTGGCCTCATTGGATCTTGACCATGATGTGCATGGCCCTGAATTGGATTACCCAGCCCTTCTTTCAGTTCTGATAACTACTCCATATCCTTTTAATAAATTCCTTTTCTGCTTCACTCAGCCAGAGTTGGTTTCTATTGCTTGCAACCAAGAACCCTGAGTGAGATAAAAGAGTAGCCTATTTTTGCTGCCTCATCTCTGCTCTGTTCTGCCTTTAACTCACTGCCAGCCAGGTTTCATCTGCATTGAAGTTGGACTTTTTTGGGGCGAAGTGACCTAACTCTTGCCAAAGAAAAAGTCTCACCCCTGATCCTGCGGAGACTCACTGCACCACAAGACAACACTGATCATGCTTTCCCTTGAAACATTATCTTCCTCTCCTGACTCCACCCTGACACCCGCCTCCAGTATTATAGCCTGCCTTCTTTCCATGGGCTTGCATTTTAACTGTGGTTGTGTTCCCTGGCTTGGCTGTTTTCTCACCACATTTCTACAAATTTCTCTAGGAGAATTTTTCTGCTTCCACAACTTCAATTTCTCTTTGAGATTTCCAACTTCAAATCACAAGCCATGATTTTTTTCTTTTGTTTTGTTTTTTAAATTTTATTGGATGTCATGCCCAATGTCATGCCCAGATTTCAAAATGTTTGCTGGATAACTGTCTACCCTATATGCACCTCAGGAGCAATATGTCCCAAGTTTCAGCTTCCCACCAAGCCTGCTCCACCTAGGACATTCTCTATTTTAGTTAATGGTGTGTTCTCAGGTAATAAGAGTTGTCAAATGCTCCCTTTCTTTTTCCTTTTTGCCACTACTTTTCATTAGCAGCAAAACTTGTTTCTATCCCTGAAATCTCTTATATCTCTTCTTTTTTGCCCATCTCTTGGCAGAACCTTGGTTTGGCTCTCATTATATTTTAGTTGCTTTCTGTTTTCTTTGATTCTGTCTTCATTGAATCCATTCCCACATTTTTGGCAGCATTATCTTCCTAAAATACAGCGTGATGATGTTTCCTTTCTAGTCAAAAAATCTAGTTTTTACAAAATAACATCTAAATTATTTATTCTTACATTTCTAACCTTAATCTTTCTAATAGTGTCTACTATGGACAGTGTCCCTGGTATATTGGTAAAATTTATACTGCTAAAAATGGATTTTCTACCCACATTTTTTGATCAAACTGTTTTTTTTCTGACTGAAATGTCATTTCCCTCATATCAGCCTTTCAGAGCCTTATACATCTCTAAAAGCTTAGCTGACTTACTACTTTTTCTAGAAGACTTCCCCAAATTTTACATGTAGAATTCATATTTCATTATATCCTCATAGAATTTATTATCAATATTTATATCTTTTTCTTAACTATGTTGTGTCTTATCCTTATCTTTCCTATAATAACTAGACACGGCCTTTTACCTCAGTGTCATTTGGTTTTTTTAATTTAAGTACATTTCTGTCCAGAGAAGCATATACTTCTTTTTCCCGTGTGCCCTGTCTTTGCAAAAAATTTTATCTGTGGCAAACATCTATTACAATAATCCAGTTCCATGATAAGTGAGTTTTTCTTAAAGTAATGAAAATAGGACCCATCATTTATTCATAGGAAATTAAAATCAACTTTGTTTCTGTTCTTAATGTTCTGAATATCATAAAGACTGATAAAGGAAAACCATCAAAAAAGAGCTCCTCTCTCCAGTGTGGAAAGAACCCTGGACTAGTTCTAGCTTTACACTCAGTTGTAACCTCAGATAAATCATTTAATCTCCCCAGGCTTAAATTTATTCATGATAATAATGGGGCAAATGTGTCAGAATTACCATAAATGTCCAAAAAGATAGTGTAAGTAATAACACCATTAAAATATATAAAATATTATATTAATACAAAATACTGTACTTATTGTGTTATTATTTTTCAGTGTTGCCACTACCACCAATCCAAGCTTGTTGGTGTGCTCCTAAGTCCCTATTTTGAGCTCAATGTCACTTCTAAGATATCCTGGCCCCTATATAGGAAACAATGCCCCACTGCTCTTATATTTTCACTCCCACTTTAGAATTATCTTCCTGCTTGTTTTATTGATGTTTTTCAGAGGCTCCTGGCCTCATGCCCCTTACAGTTGCTATGTTTTTGGTAATAGGGGTTTTACAATTGTGTTTTAGTTTGAGGCAATTCTTGACTGACTCAATAAGAACCCAACCTGTAAGATTCCTCTTCTGATTTTAAAAGATGTTGATTCTAAATCAATTTAGCCAATATATATTAAAATGAACAATGTGAAATGTCCTAGTAGAGTATTGTAGATGACAGCTCCTCATAAGAATGAGGGATAGGTCAAGCCAAAATATAATTGCAGAACAAAAAAGAATTTAGTAAATGCCTATAAGAAGTAAAAATAAAATGCTATAAGGATTCAGAATAGAAGGAAATAAAATCTCAGGCAATAGTAACAGGTATAAAAGTCTTTCTAAGAAAGAGGTGACATTTGGGATGAGTCTTGAAAATTGAGAAATATTTATTGATTGTCATAAGCATTCCTAGCACAGTGAATCATGTCACATAAATGTGAAAAAGGAATAATTTTCATCAACATCCCAAGTTTCCTTTGTATCATTATAACAAATCTATGTGGTGGAAAACACACACACACCCACTCACACTCACACACACATACACAGGGATAATAGTTGTTGTCTGCAAATGGGACTGGAGTTTCACTGGAGTAATTTATGATGCATGTTATTATGAGATTTCATCATATTTGTCAGAATAAGGTCTACTGTGCAATTCACACCCTGTGTAAAGATCATAGCTTACTCGTATTCATGGAATTCGAGTTTTTACCATAGGAAAATCTCTAAGTTTTTTTGTTGCTTTAAAAAAATAGCTCATATGCCCTGTCTACAAAAAATAACTGGATTGTCTGAGAACTTACACTTGAATATTATTAAATAAAGGAAGAAAGTGATACTAAAACTTCAATATTTATTTCTTCATTTTCCTAATTGGAAAAATTGAAATATTTTTAAATAAATTGTTGGGTGTTCAAGTCAGTGTTTTTGAGCCTGACTGGTCAGTAGATATAATTATTTTCACTAATAGATATAGGTTATCTATGCTAAGAGAGCTATTAATTCTGGACCATGATGCAAATGTTTTAGCAATTCAGAACACTGCAATGCCAATTAGTGAAAATAGAGATAAAAAAAATTTTTTGTTAATGTGTGTGGGGACGTGACTATCATTGGATGTGCTCTGTCAAAGCCAATATGCCCAATATTAAAATATTTTTTAAATGTTTGAGGTCTTCCCTTGTTTATAGTTCAAATTCTACCTTACACAGAAGTCAAATATATAAAGTGCTGGTATTTTAGAAGGCACAGTGCTACTTTAGAGACGTACTAGGATTAGGGAAGTAAGCAACCTTCACCAACTTCATGGGAAATTTTTGAGGACAGTAATATAAGTGACATTACAGAATCTTCCTCATGGTCTACTTGAGAATAGTAATATAACCCACAAGTAACAGATGGGAGAAATTGATTTCATGAGAAGCTGTGTTCTGAAATCAGAAGATGCTTAAGATTCTTATACCTACTGTGACTTAGCGATGTGCTCCGCTACTCAAGATTTTTGTAAAGCTTCAATTTTAGTTATTCTCATTAGTATAAATACAACAAAACTTTTAATCTTCATACCTGTTATAAGAAAAAATATTCAAAGATGGTTTCTCTCTCGTATCTGTGTCTCAGATCTGTCTATGTGGGTTCCTGGGAGCTACAGCCACCCAGAGTCTTCAGATTCCATTGCTTTCTTCCCACTGCAGCCGTCTTCCACTCTGCAGTGATTCACACCGCTCCTCTTCTTACAACTCTGCCATGACTTCTCCTTGCCCTTAAGACAGAGCCTCCGTCCTTTAAATGGACCTCCAAAGACGACATTTCCCTTCTTCCTTGTTTCCAGCCCAACAAGGCCAAGGCGACTGCAGGATGAATCTAACAATTTTCTAAATTCACCAAATTTGCCAATTTACTCAAAACTTAGAATATTCTTCTTGATTATAGTCAATGATATATTCAACATAGAAAAATGGAAAAAAGTTGAACTGTAAAAAGCTAAGGGTGAGAGATTAGATTTATTTCTTAAAAAAATATTCTTTTTATGAATATATTTTGTTTTAAAAGTCTTCTTAATATAGCCATAAACATATTTTACTGATGAATAGATCTCAAATCTTAGCATTTAAAGAATCATTTAGATCTCTGCTGTTGTAGTTAGAGGAAATTAGGAAGAGACAGGGCACCTTCTGCCATTTTAAAGAAACAGCACAACCTTGGCTCCTGATGCCAGCGTAAAGAGAGACTGAGTGGCTGAAAGTGGGAGGTTGGGGTGACACAGAGAGAGAAGACAGAGGCGAAAGAGAAAAGTCTGAAGGTTATGACGACTCACCTGTCCATACTCTACTAATCCAGCTACTAGGTATTGCTGTAAGCTTTGTAAGTTACTATAAGAAACAAGATATTGGTAAATATATAAATTTGATGAATCAATCATTTGGTAAATTGTTGCTTTCAGTGAATTAGCCACTTTTGAGAAGTGGCTTTCAATGTATTGAGCTACAGCCATCTATTTTAAGTCCATCTCACCCCTCCACTTATTATTCTAATCGTAATAACCTCCTTTGGGGCTCGTGTATTAGCATTTCCTCTTATTTAGCAGTAATTCTAAATATTTTCTATTGTCCAAAATCCACTTCCTCTCACTATTCTGCAGATTAAACTCTGTTACTCTTCAGGTACAGACTTAAAAGTCAGTTGTCTCGGAAGTCTTCTCTAGCCCCTATATCGATCAAGGATCCTATTTCAGGAAAGAGATCTACTCTAAGGATTTTACACATAAATGGATTTATTAGAGTAGTGACGACTCTTGAAAATGTGGGATTGGCTAAAGTAGCAGACTCTAGGCCGATCTTTTAAGAACACCTCCCGAAACCACACCAGAGAGCTGCACTGCCGGAGGAGCTGCGTCTTCTGCCAGGATCAAGAAGCTTTGTTATCAGGAAGCTGCCACCAGAGCTCCTGGCCCCAGAATCGCACAACCCGTACCATGATCCACGTCAGCGAAACATCTGCCATCTGCCCTTGCTTTCTCCCCACATGATTCATTTCTGAATCCAAGCTTTATGTGAACACATTTGATGAGCAGGACCCATCCATCCCAGCTTCAAGGGAGACTTGGAATTACGAATTTTAAGCTTTCCAGCCTCTGCTGTATAAGAAGGCATTCTGAAAGGGGGTTGAGAGAGTCAGTTCAAAGAATCCCCTAAACTTGTCCTCTATAGT